TGGAAAATAATGTGTTTTTTGAACCTTAAACCACATAAACACATTTCATTACACCAAATACACAAAATAATGTTCTTTTTAGCAGCATCATATGACCCCTTTAAAGTGACTTTGGTAATACGCAGGTGTGCACATACCAGGGCCGTGTACTTTAGCTTCTTCACTCTGCCAGGTCTTCAGGTATGTTTGAGGTGTTTCATCAGAAACAGCATTTGATACGGAAGCTGCTGCTCTTTCAGCTTTCAATGCTAGCTTCTTTTGCCGCTTCTTTTCCTTTTTCTCTTCACGCTTCAGTTTCTTAACTTCTTGGCGTTTCTTTTTTTTCTTGGTCTTTTTTTCTCTGGATGGGGAAGTGGAGCTGGAAGACGATGAAGAGCTGGAGGGACTTCTCCTTTTCATCTTTTTTTCTGTCTAATTTCAGATCAGAAGTTGGGAGACATGTTATACGTACAAGCTGTCGCCACAAATACAGAATATGCATTCATTTATGAATACACAATCTACTACATGCCTTCTGTTGTCTGATTGACAGTTCATACTTTTTTAGCAAGTAAAAGGCCTTTTAGATAAACGTCCACTTTTTAGATTGTGTGTTTGCTGTGAAATATTTACTGATTTTTAGGAAGTAAATGTTAGAAAAACTGTTATATTGTTTTTAATATTTCAACATGAACACTTACTGGACTGAAGCATTTTAGGTTTGCTTGATTAACCAATAACCATACATAATTTTTTTAGAAAAATCATGTTAAAATGTGAGTATACTATACTGAGAGCAGCACTTTCCCTTACCAGAGGAACGTTCAGGTCTCTTTTGAGGGCTTGGACTGGATCTCCTGGCACTTGATGATGACAAGCTTCTGGATTTGCTCTCATCTCTGTGTCTGCTCTTAGATCTGCTGCCAGCATCACTCCCTCCCATGAGTAATAATCTACTTGTGAAACAGTCAGGACAATTGTCCTGTTTTGTTTCTGTTTTAAAGCAATATGATCTTGTTAAAAATTCACTGCTATCAAAGTGCAGATTAAAAACAACATAATAGTGCAATGTATACCAAATATAGAATGCTGGTAACATAATCCTATTTCCACCACAGGATAAAAATAAAAATAATAATAAAAAGGGTAAATGCTACTTTTTTCCTCGCAATTCTGAGATTCACCCCCAAGTTACTTTAACAAAACTGGTTCTAATGCACTAGTACATTTGTGTCACACCACAACATTTTTAACATATTAATAACATTGAATCAATACAATTAAAAATAAAAAATATAAATAAAAAGGCGATTTTCTCGATATTTAGATTTTTTTTTTTTTGCACCCTCAGATTCCAGATTTTCAAACAGTTGTATCTCAGCCAGATATTGTCCTATCCTAACAAACCAAACTATTCAGCTTTCATATGATGTATAGATCATATTTTTTTTTTTAAATGGACCCTTATGACTGGTTTTGTGGTCCAAGGTCACATTTTTTTTCTCGCAATTGTGTCTATATCTTGTAATTCTGAGAAAAATAAGAATTGTGAGATAAAAAGTTGCAATTTCCTTTTTTAATTCACCATCACCAGCTTCCATGTATTTCATCAAGAGATATACCAGCAATTTACTTGTTGAGGTTACTCATTCCTGCAACAACCAAGCCAATGAGAGCAGTTGTGGGGCGGAGCAACGCGCCTAGCCACACCCCAAAATGCAGCCCCTCCCTGTTCTGTCTATGAATTGAGCATACACGAGTGCATACAAAAAAATATTAGTATTCATCAATCTCATAAGCGGCACCTCACATTATGAAACAGCCTACTGCAGCTTGTTATAGGAAACTCCTTAAGTAAGAAGACCACTCGTGAATATTACACCTGGCCAGGTAAAAGTAAAGTTCAGTATGACTCTTCTGCACTGCCACCTATTGTTATTGTGAAAAGTGCAATGGCGAGGACCTCGTTTTAATCTTGGCTAGTGTTTGGCGAGGACAATTTAAAAGCATAAACAAAACTTAAAAACCGCAGCACGACCGCAAGTGTGTGTGTGACGTTACTGAGACCCTGAGCTGCAGAAGACGTGCAGAGTATTGCATCTCCTTAAGGTCTCTACTAATCTGATATCAAATGACGCCAGCACATGCTTCATCTTTCTTATAGTGACTCAGTAAACGTAGTCAATTAATACTTACTTGTTCACCAATTCAGAATGTTTTCTTTCTGCTTTACAAGACATTTAGATCAGTAGCTTGTACTTCTGCAGTCTGCACACGAAACAAAAGCATGCCGGAAATCCGTTTTCGTCATCTTTTCAAAATAAAAGATCTCGCGCGTTCATTAAAAACAAAAAACACAACATAAAAACAGATGTGTTAAATAAACTGTATTATATATTTAATGATGTGTTTTAAATTTATATGTATGCATTTGGCGGACGCATTTTTCCAAAGTGACTTACATTGCATTCAAGCTATGCATTTTACCGCTTCATGCATATAACCTTGGCGTAGCGCCATGCTCTACTGTTTGAACTACAGGAATAATACCAATATAATACATATTCATAAAATAAATAAAAATGCAACCATACCAACTGCTTGATTTGAACAAAAACTTAATTTTGCCATTCAAATATAAACAGGCTCACAGGATTCAAATAATACATCAATTTACATATGATACATTTATTGTAGTGCTTTGAAGACATTACATGTTAATATGCAAAACAATTGTAATTTTAATAAGACTTGGCATGTCGATATTCATACAGCTAAAAAAAAAAAAAAACACCAATCTAGCAAAGGGTTTTCATCCAAATTCAGCCAAATTTCCTCTCATTCTGTGAGAGTTCTGCATTTCCTTAACCATGGCACCATTATCATCGCTCTTTGTACCCTCAAAGTCCAGATGGGGGGAATAAATAAAATAAAAGAAGCGATTGGTCAATTCAGTCACACATATTCCTTAGATGAATAAACTGTTGTTGCAAAGGTTATTTGGACAGTTTTCTTGCATGCTGATTCACAAGTATTGACCAGTATTGGACATGTGACTCATTCCACAGATCCACATCAGTGCAACAGGAACTTGTATAAACACTGACTTCAGTTGTTTTAGATTGTTCACATTTCTTATGTTTCTTTATGCATAAATATGCTGCAAAATGTCTGGCAATCTCCTATTATAATACTTAAACATACAAAAACGCAAAGCAGTAACAGTGAAAACAAAAGTGAAACTTGTGTTTAATGCTTGGCCATGTAACTGAAAAATATACATGCATGTTTTGTTTAAGATCTGAATGAAAAAGCACATTCATGTTCTTAAACCTTTAAATATATTTAACTAGACTATGGAAAGCAAAAATAGCCATTAAAAATGTTTAGTTTTTTTTCCCCCACTAGGAGACCCTCAAAATGAAGTCGGAGGGAAGCACAGCGTGGAATGTGGAGTGAGCCGAGAATGAGGACGTTATGAGGACGCTGCCATTCGAACACGTTGAGGGGGGGTTAAAATTAAATTTTTTGCTGCCTTTATTGTATTTTTCATTAGCATGGCTACGGTCATGGGTCCAACACCGCCTGGAACTGGAGTAATGTAGCTGGCCTTCTTTTTAACACCTGTGGAGACATATATCAAAAGTGATTAAAACAAAAACTAGATGAGTAAATGTTGATTACAAACTTGGATGTATGCTTGAGAAAGCCTTGTCTGAAAGTTTGAAATAACGCTGAAAAGCCTGAAGTTTGAAAGTTTCTCTGAAAAGTCAATGAAATATAGCAAATATGGGTCCCACTTTATACTAGGTGGCCTTAACTACTATGTACTTACATTTAAATAAATCATTTGGTACAACTTATTGTGTACATGTTTTTACATTGTATTTATATTTTAAAAACTGACTGCATGTAATTACATCTGTAACTAATTTCTGTAATTACATTTATAATTACACTGTTCCCTTATATCTTAACCCACACTTAAACCTACCCATACCATCAAACCTGTCCCTAACCTTATCCATATCTCACCTCGATAGCAGCAAAAGTATTTTGCAATACGATATGAACAAAATAAATAAAATGTACTTATTTTTCATGTAAGTACATAGTAGTTAAGGCCACCTAATAAAAAGTGTGACTCAAATATGTTTTTGTGAGCTTCTTGCTAGCATGACTTTGTGCATTGCTCGCATGTTTTGGCACATCGCTAACATGTCTGTAACATGACTTCACTTTAACATGTTTAGACATGTTGCTCACATGATTTAGCACATTGCTAGCATGTTACATTGTTAATATGTTTTTAACATGTTTCTAGCATGAAGTAATACATCATGTCTTAGCATTTTACTAGCATGATTTGGCACTAATCAATGTAAGTCAACAGGAGATTTTCAAACAATAATCTTAAAACTTCTTAAAATTCAAAAAGAAACAGGCTAAACTAAAAGCAGATAATTCAATGTTTAGAAATCCCAAACTAGAATGTCTGAGGAATATACAGTAAAGTGCAAGCACAACAATCATTTGAACCGAGAATCTCAGAAAAGCTTTTATCCCATTATTACACCAGTCACAGTACTAGTTGCGCTTCCTTCTTACCTTCAAAGTCCACGTCACCAACAAGTCTGTTTTTCCCAGTCAAGGGGTCCAATATTCTGTTGATTCCAACATCTATAACTGCTGCACCCTCCTTTATCATATCAGCAGTGATGAGGTTGGGAATACCTGAAGGGAGTTAACAGTGTTTGTGACCTGGGTGCCTGTGAGCACTACCCAATGATATACATAGCAGTAAACATGTGTTAAAGGGGTCATATGATGTTGCTAAAAAGAACATTATTTTGTGTATTTGGTGTAATGAAATGTTTATGCGGTTTAAGGTAAAAAAAAAAACATTATTTTCCACATACTGTACATTATTGTTTCTCCTTTCTGAAACTTCTGAAAAGCGAGGTGTGCTCTGATTGGCCAGCTATCCAGTGCGTTGTGATTGGCCGAATACCTCAAGCATGTGACGGAAATGTTACGCCCCTTACCATACTGTGACCCTGTCCCGGAGCGACGAGACAAAAACATTAAAACCCATTATAAACGAGACATTTGTTGCATCCAGTGGGGACATAATTACGGATTATAATGACTTGTACTGTCTTTTTACGCATTGCATTGCATCACGCCGTGTAAACATAAAACCATGTCTGCATTTGTGTTCGGAGAAATTACAAACTACAAACGCTACTCTACACTGCTCAAAACTCACGTTTGAATCATCAGTGGCAAATTCT